ACGTTTCATAAATAATGAGCAGAGGGTAACAGAGAGCTGGTGCCATGGATTTAGCACTGATGGGCCTGTCACAGGTGCCTTTTCCTGTTCCTAAGCAGTACTATGCCTCCTTTTCAGCTTTTATTGCTGTTAAAAGAAAACCTGTTTTTTTTCCCCAAAATTCAAGGTTGCATCTCATCATTGACTAGTAATTGACCATCACTGAGTAACTCACAATTTTGGGGCCTCTCCTTTCAACCTGTGCCTGTATTTTCCAGCCATTAAGCTGCTTGCTGTAATAAGAGGCACCTGTACCCAGCTGTAGCTCATAGTTTTTTCTAGAATAATTTCTTAAGCATAAGAGGCCAGAATTTGTGCGTTTGGCATTTGAATACAGGCCTTTTCCTAGCAGTGGCAATACTATTTTTACTGTGCCACATGGAACAAAAATACATATACATTTTTTACTAGTCATGATGTGTAAGATTGCTTATGTTTGAGTTTATAACAAACTAATAATTAAATACCACTCAAGCTGCTGTTTTTATGGGTGCAAAAGCTTCTGCTTTGGCTATAGACAATTAAAGTTTCAGAACAGTGTAGCTACTAATGAATAGTGCATTCAAGTGATGAAGAGTTTAATCTTGAGTGTACTGATTTAATCCTGAATATCCTGAGGATAGTGGTGTTCCAAGCTTATCCTAAGTACCATTGCTAATATAGGTAGAGATTGGACAGAGAATGTCAAGCTGTGTATGTGTACATACTTATAAAGAGACTTTGCTTAATCCCATGTAGATGATTAATTCTCCTTCTTAAAAAGTGAAGAGGAATATGTGGATCCGTGTCACCAAAATCTGTTCACATGAAGATTAACTGTTTGTACTCTATTTTAAACATTTAAAAAAAAAAAAATTAGTAAAATCTTAAAATTCTGATAAATGTGTGGTTTACACCCCTGATGTTCAGATCACTTTAATTAGAGTGCTTATCTGAGATGTTCTTGATAGTGTGATGTTTCTTTTGTAGCAGTGACATCAGCGTGGTAATGTTATCCTCTCTATCTAGTGAATTGACCAGCTGTTGAACAGCGGTTTATTAAATACAGAACAGAAGAAATGTGTTTCTAATGAAGCTACATAAGAGTACTTGCAGTATTTTAAAATTCTGATGCCTATGTAAATGGGTGTAAGGTTAGCCCTTTTTCAAAGAAATATGTGAATCATTTTTGTTCAGGGTAGGGGCAGTTGAGTTGTAAGTTGTGGTATGTTTTTCAGAGAAGCTGTAACTAGTCTGTTTAAAAACAACTCCAAAAACCCAAAGACCTGCCTACCACCCTGAGAAATGTTGTTTCAGTTGTGGTGGGATTTTGGCTGGCTAGAGTTGAATTTGAGAAAGAACATAACAAAGATGCTGTTTATTAGAGGCGTTCTTGCCTCGTGTGTCCTTTCACTTTCATACTGTTTTTCACACTTGGTGTCTAGTTTTTACACATTAACTGCTCTGACTTTAGTCAGGAGGATATCTTCCTAACAGTTTCACAAACAAACTCACAACTATAACATCCAGTTTCCAGAGGGGGCTGGAATTATTTCAAGAGATGTCTTAGAGTGGGAGCGCTGCTTTCCAAAGCTTAAAAAAGGAATGGGGATTGGGTGCAAAAACAGAAAACAGCACCTGTCATTCTTCAGAGGCACAAAAAAATACGGGTGTCCATATCCTCTCTAGATATGTGCATTTGGAGACTAGACTAGGAAAAAAGCCATAGTAATTAACGGGATTGCTTCCTTTGGAACATTTATAAGATGTGCAGGAGAATAAGGAAAATACACTACCACCTGAAGTTTTGGGATGTCTTATTTGGTGTGGTCAGAGAGATAACTTGTCAGTCCAAATCCATCAGTGATTATAGCAGACAAATGTGTGTTTATTGCTTCAGCTCTTGCTCAGTTCAGTTATTAATTTCCTGTCAAAACAGAAATAAACACAGACATTTCTGTGCTGCTGTCTTCATGCATTCCACATCACCCCTTGATATCTTCTGTCCACTGTCCACTTAGGTACCAAATAATGACTCATTATAGGTATGTGGTAATCATTAACTGGGGAATAGTTGTGTTGCAATCCTTGACAGCTGTCAAATCTGGGATTAAATATAAACCCAAGTCAGTGCAGCTGCCCATGGAAGCACAGGGATTCTGCTATGTATTTTCTAAACCTCTATGGCCACCAACAGGGCTGTAAACTTAATTAGTTAAGTAGATGTTGTTGGGTACTCATCAAGTTGTTGGCCACTGGAATTGCTTGAGGAAAAGCAGGGCTTGTTGGTAATATTTGGGTTGGGGGTTTTGTGTTTGTTTGTTGAAATTGTGAGGGCCATTCTTCCATCTGTCAATGAATTTTAGTCCTTTCTTATGGCAAAATTTTAATATTTACTGTCTACCTTTTTACAGTTTTTAAGTGGATTTAAGATTTATTTTTCTGTTGCTAAATAGAACAGAAAAGTCAACACCTCTCTAAGTAGATCATTCTGATAGTTCAGTGACATTATGCTGTTTTTTATACCAGCTTTCTTTTTATTCTAGAACTTTAAAAAGACTGTGAAATACTCGCATTTTTAATTGCTGTTTTTAATGTTAATTATGTTCAGAGTTTTTTTTCCCCTAAACAACTAGTCATAAACAATCATTAGCACTTGTCTGTTGAAATATGGTGGTGATAGGTTTACTTTCTTATTCAGTAATTTCTGCTTCACAAACAAGTGATAATTGAGAAAGAAATATTGAGTGTTTTAATTGAGGAAGAAATATTGACTATTTAACCACAGATCTTACTGCTGTAGAGGATGCTGTCAGTGCTTACTTGAAATTAAGTCACTGAGGGAGTTTATCTTGAATATTTTAGATTTCTTTTTAAAGTCATGATATTGTTTTAGATTATGGAACTTTCTATACTTTATCGCACCCGATATTGCAGAAGAATAGTAAAACTTTCAGCTTTTAATCAAGTAACAATATTCTATTATTTAGTCAGACCAAAAATATCTCAAGACTATGGTTAAACAAACAGAAAGAAGTAAAATTTCTCCCTGCCATTTCTTGGAAAATTAACTGACGTTTATGTAGAGCACTGTTAAACAGAGTCCTTCATTTTCTCTGTTGAGACTGTTCATTTTCTTTACTGAGATATTTTCAGTGTGAAAAAAGCCAGCTTGAGGGATTTATGATGTTTTTTCATTGTACTTGGAATTAATTTCTTTGTCCCATTCCTCCTCAAACAAAAGATGTCTGCAGATTGTTCTTTTAGCAGCACGAGTGTATGGGACAGTGCCTGCCTTGCCTGCTTTTAGTTTAAGTAATGTGCCTTCACTTCTACAGTCAGTCTTAATCAATGATGTGAAATGTGCACACCCAAGACACGTTGAAGATTGTGTCATATAGCTGAAACCTTATAAAAGGAAGGCTTTATAAAATCAGGCCTTGCTCAGCTGAACTAACAGCTAGCCTGTTGAGTGTTCCCATGAGAAATGAATTCTAAGAATGAAAATCAGTTTGCATAACAATATATTATTGTGAGAAAAACAGGTTGCACCTGCAAAAACAAGAATTCTATTCCATGAGAATCCACAAAGAAAAAATCTAAACCCCTGTGTAAAAAGAGAGTCTTAGCAGGCACACACACAAGCATCTTCTAACCAATTAATTGAGTGGCAAGAAAGTTACAAACCAACTGGAGTTAAACACAGGTCTTTGGAAGTTGTACGCAAATGTGCTGTAACATTAAAGTGAGACTTTAGCCACTTAAACTTTGAAGGATTGTACCTGTCTTTATTTGCTGCCGTTGTTATAGAAGATAAATGCTCCAAAGGTATTTCTGTCCCACTGCAGAACTCCTGGAAGCAGAAGATCTATAGGGAATTTTAACAAGCAGGGAGCACTGCTAGCAGGGATCTGAGTAATTATCCTATTAAAACAGCAACATCTGCATTATCTGTGGAAGCACTGAATGGAAGGGAACATTATGTTCTCTAATCCTGTCTAGGAGCATTATGAAGTTGAAAGGATAACATTTTACCAAATCTGTGTTCTAATATGATAGGTTACACTTAATTACCTTTTAATTACCCTTCTTGTAATTGGACTTTAAGCTAAGGACCCTGCCTCTAAGTCTCATCACAGACCATTTCTTGCCTTTGGATTCTTCACGTCAGGTTTTATAATTGAGTTTACCTTGAAAAGTTGGTCCTATTGTATCTTGAAGGCCTTTATTGCAATTATTTTTCCCTTGTGTATGAAAAGCTCTGAGAATATTAGTTTATGTATAAAAGATACGTTGCAGCATTCAGAAGTTTGTGTTTTCCATTTAATTGCAAAGAGCAACCTTGTTGGAGTATGTTTAATGGATAAGGAGTAACTGTGCTCAGCAGAGGCCACACAGGAGCAGGACATTATTCCAGCCTCCCAACTGCTTGCAGTGGAAGCCAGGAGAGTGTATTGGCTTTAATAATGTAGATTTCTTCTTTCCTCTTTACCCCTGAGGGAGTCTGATTTCCTGATCACCTATCTAGCCATATGCTGTAGCTCTTGCCAGGAACTCCGAGCAGTGTCACTGCCAGCTAAAATTACTTGTTTTCTGAGAACTGAATTACATTGAGAATTGTCTTAAATTGCTGCACTGGCAACATTGCAAAGTTTTGCATACACACACAAATAAATATGTAACAGCAGCCTTACTTTGAAATGCAGCTTAGAAACTACTTCAGGCAGGGAATTTGATCCAGATCCTGTGAGGTGTTCTCCACCTGCTCAGGCACATCACTCCTGCTTTGTTGTCTTTCCAGTGCTTTTCTCACCCTCTTTTTGCTCTGGCTGCTACAGTACAATGATGAGACATGCAAATTAAACATTTACAAAGCAAGGTATTGTCTCTTCCTGGTTTGTAGCAGTTAGAGGGAAGACCTAGTGTGGCTGGTAAAAACTTCAGGTGTGCTAACTGTGCTCCTTTCTCTCCTCTTTCAACAGGATGGAACTGAAATATGGATATGTGTTGACAAAGGAGTGGGAATAAGACTGAGTTCTGCTCTGTGATATTTATATACCTGGACCATGAACTTGCTTTTTGGCTTTATGCTTTAGGAACCTTTGTAGTAACTGTGTGAAGCTGTTGGGAATCATGGCATTCTCTCCATGGAAGCTGTCCTCCCAGAAACTTGGCTTTTTTCTGGTGACTTTTGGTTTTATTTGGGGAATGATGCTTCTGCATTTTACTATTCAGCAACAAACACAACACGAAAGCAGTTCAGTCCTGCGTGAGCAAATTTTGGACCTCAGCAAAAGATACATCAAAGCATTAGCTGAAGAAAATAAAAATGTAGTTGATGGGCCTTATGTTGGGACAGTGACAGCATACGGTAAGTGTGTTCTCTGGATTATTTGATAATCTGATTAAAGCTTTTCCTCAATTGTCCAAACATTTTTGCTTCATAATGCTGCTCAATTAGCAGTACTTTACCCTGTGCATTTTCTGTACAAATGGAGAAAATGGCTTTGCCTTTTAGGTGGGACAAACTTTACATTTCCAATCACTTGGAAATGAAGCTGTTTGCTAATTTTTATTACATCTGTCTAGTAGCTCTATCTACTATGCCTTACGTTATTTTTTAGAACTCAGTCTTCTTTTGGCGTTTTTAAGAAAGTTGAGAGACTTTTCAGTTTTAGTTTCTGTGATCTAAGAAATTCCCTGTGGAAAAACTTGTCTTAGTTATAAGATGGAGACCTGTTACATTTATTTCTTCTTCTTTCCCATTTCACTTCTTTATTCAGACAATTTACTTAATGTTTAAGTTTTTTTATCTGGCATAATCTTAAATTAAGGTTAAGTATATCCTATTTGCCTCAGGGCAGAAAACTCCTTGAGTTTTAGTGCTTTGTTTGGCAGCACGTTTTAATGCTTACTCTCTTCCAGTTTGTACATGAGACTTAAGTTTTTGTGCATGTGTCAGACAAAGCAAGCAGAAAAGAATGACGAATATTACCCAGAAATATTACTAAATAAAAATAGAATCAAATTTCAGGTTAGGTGTGGTTCCTTTTCAGTCTGTTAAGATCACATAATACACCTTGCTTGTTTAGCAGTTTTTAGACTCACTCTCTTTCCTACTTACCTATGCACTTCCAGACTGTCTGGAAAACTAATTAGTCATTTAGATTTGTTTTCTTTTATAGTTGTCTTAATATTCAGGTCTGAAGAAACTGAGTAGATAGTTTTTGTATGCTTAGACAAAGAATGTAGACTAGGACGCACCAGATAGAATAGCTGCACTTTTTTTCTCTAGTTTTCTCTTAGTCCTCTATACTTCTTGATGCATGCAGTGAAAATATCCTGCTGGAAGGTTCTCTCTGTGTCTTATTTCTGTCACCAATCTTTTTTCCTCTAAAAAACAAATTTCGAGTTTGTGTGCATTTGCTTGACTGTAAGCCTAAGTTTATTATCCTCAATGTAGCTAACAATTAAATTGCTTCATTGCTTAAATAATAACCTGCCCTTACTCTGTAACTCCAAATTTGTGGCCGCATATTGAACTGTACTGGAAGTGGAGCCTTACAAAGCAACACAAGCAAAACAAAGTGGTACCAGATCAATATTTAGGTTGAGGATCTCTGAGCAAGTAGAGATCCTTAGAGGATTGTGTGATTAGGCTCAAAACAAAACTTTATCACCTTTACCAGTGTCCTGTTACTGTGTAGGGGTGCTAGATGGTGGATGCCTTGAGAAAGCAAATAGACAAAAACCCCAAACAATCTGGCTCCAGATATTGGAGGTAACTGCATTAATATGGGTACAGGATATCCATAAGCAAAGTTCCCCCTGCAGCTTATTGCCTGTGGCATTAATTTCCTGTTCCAAATCCTGCTGACTTGCCTCCAAACACTGGTCAAGTTCCCAAGGAGAAGTTAAACTGCATTTGGAAGTGGGTGAAATAACTTTATGACACTTCTGTAAAGGGAAGGCCAAGGCTTGTGTAGCAATTTCAAGTCCATGGCTGTGAAAATTTTTAAGATTAAAGACTTAAATTTAAAGTTTGGCCAGGTGTTTTCAACAAAGTAGTTGGGAAAGATGGAAAATAATGGTAATGCAGTTATTTAAAATATTTCAGGGAAAAGCACTCTGATGAATGAATAACACCATATTAAATAATAGTTTATGAAACTGGGTAAGGTAATTACTTAATAAGTTAATTTTCCTGTTTGGCATACCAAATGACTTGTTGCTAGCAAATAATCAGGTTAGCTCTTCAGAAATAAACACATTAATGACTGATGTTAATAATAATTTGTAGAGATTTCTTCAATAATCTGTGAAAATTAATGCTCTTACTTATTTAGGCTTTTTATTTTTATTAATGTTTGTCGTCTGATTGCTTTAAGTGAGCACAGTCGTGATTTCCATGTTCAAGAATAAATTTAATGTTTTCTGGGTTTGGCTGCTTTTACCCACCTTAAAGGTTTTCAGTCATTCCTTAATTGTGGTTGCACAGCTTTTTTACTGTCTCACTTTTTCTTTCTATCACGTCAGGTTAGTGGCTCATAAATTTTCCTTTTAAAAATTACTGTTCAGATATACACAGTGAATATTAGATTTTTCTTCATAGCAGCAAACAGTTCTTTTACAAAAAATTACATTAATCTGTGCTTCTGCCCTCTCCTTCTCAAACTAGCCTCCACTTGCCTTTTTGTTCTGACAAGATGTCTCTCACATCAGTGTTTTGGTATCAGAATTTAAAAAAATATATTTGACGCTTTTTTTTTTCTTTTTGATCTGTGTATGCTTTTATGTAGGCTATGTTTCTTCTTCACAGTTTCCTGAATTCTTTTTGCTACTTTTTTTCCTAGATTTTTTCTTCCTTCTGGACTGTAGTTGTGTTCATGTTAAGTCTAGAGTTTCCTTTTCTTCTGCATGCTCTGCCATTAAATAACTTCTGGACACCTTTTAAAATGGTCCAGATGTGTGGACAAGTGCTTCAGATTCCACCTTCTGATCTTTACAGGACAAAGGAAAACAGAGTTATAATGAGAAAGGCTTTCTTTATGGCACCATGGAATAAATATGATTCTCCTTTTATTTGGAGAAAAGTATTATAAGCTTTCTAAAGTAACAGCATTTTCTTATTTAGTCTCTTATTTGCACAAGAATTGAGATGGTCATGGGAAAATTAAAAAAAAAAAAAAGCATAGAATGAATGTGGCCAAAATACAACTGTTGTAGAGACAGTGGAATCTCTTTAGATGTATGGAAAAGTTTTCTATTATAGACTAGAATGTTATTTGATTCTAAAGTTGTGTAAAATACATTATACCAAAACACATGCAATTATTTTATGTATTTAAATGGAAAAATAATGTAAATTCCTCATACCAAATTCTTTAATCTTTACAAGGGTAAATGAATGAAGGACAGTAGCTTCATCTTCTTTGGCTTCTTGCCATTATAATTATAGTTTAGTCTGATAGTGGTCTAGTTTTCTCCTCTTGTCCTCAGTTTTTAGCTTGCCAAAGTGTCTTGTGTTCCTTCAAGGAATCTATGCAAAATAAAAGCCAAGGAAAAAAATATCAGAGAACTCTTTCTGTATTGTCATTTGATGTGCAAATTCCTGTTATTATTCGTTGCCTTCCATGCCAAGGAAGTGCTGTGTCAGACCAAACAGAGACAATCACCGACAGACTGAAGAAAGGAAACATGATTTTTGGTGTTTTGTGAATACAACAGAAAGGTTCAACATAACTTTTTTTTTTTTTTTTTTAGAAATTATTATCTATTTTTAATTTGCCAGTGCAGAAGCCGGTTATGTGGAAGAGATGCAGGAGGAAGTTTTTGTACTAGCTTAAAGCTGTCCTTTTTGGGAAGGGGATTTTTGTTCCCAGGTGACTATGTATCAACAGACTGTTCCTCTGAGAGTGCTTGAATATGGATTTAGGTTTAGACTCATTATTATTTAAGCAGCTTCTTATTACTTGAGCCATTGCAAAGCAAGCATTTTTCTGTTCCCATAAAGGCTCACATTTCACCTTGAACATGGATATCTATATGAGTTGCAGTGTGTTTTGTAAAATAGGCTGACAAGTTCCATGGCCAGAGAAACTTGTATCTGAGGCTGAGCAAAGCAGGGAGCATGAGTGCATAAAGCTGGTAATGACAAAGATTTGCACTGAGGAAGTGTGTTTATATATATATGTATATATATATTTATCTCCTGTCTCATTCGTGTATCTATTTTTTTTATTCTGTCTGACAAGTGTGCACTGCATTATTAAGCAGTTTAACTTTTCATTTTCATTTGCAGATTTGAAGAAGACACTTGCTGTCCTGTTGGATAATATCTTGCAGCGCATTGGAAAGTTGGAGTCCAAGGTGGAAAATCTTGTACTTAATGGAACAGGAGCAAACTCGACCAACAATACTACCACTTCTGCTCCCAGCTTAGGAGCAGCTGAAAAGCTTAATGTAGCAGGTGTGTATGGCAATTACTAAAGTTATTTATGGGCTGTTTAATCTGAACCTTTTCTCTCCTGAGCATAACATGATTTTTCAGTGCTTAAAGTCAGGCCTTTATCAATGACAAACTGAAGTCCAAGCTCAGTGGAAGATCTTTCTTCTGTGGTAACTTGACATTAGAAAATCACAATCTCTGCTAAAGGGAATAGTTCACCCATTTATAGTAGATGTCTCATGCTTTAAATGGTTGTACTTAAGAATGATGAAACTCAGGAGATCTTTTCTCTGAAAACCTAACTATTTAGGTTGGTATCAATCTACTTTGCCATTCTACCATATGCACTTTATTGGTTATTAACTGAAAGGAAACATTTATTATATTTGTTGTCCATGATTTTAAAATGTCTTTCCCTACAGTGCTTAATAGCTCTTAGGATTTGACACAGAGAGATCACCTACCTGGTACATTCATTTAAAATAAAAACATGTTTTGAGATGACATTTGAAGTCATTCATTTTGTCTTCAATGAATGGATTGTTTTGTTCTGCCACCAAGTTGAAACAGATACTGGCTGTCCTGACTCATAGGAAAGTCTGAGTCTAAGTCCAATGATCTTTGCAGTCCCAAAAAGAGAACAGAGCAGAAGAGTTAAGGCAACTTGGTAAATAAGTTGATAACTGTGCTCCTGTGTCTTGTCTGTCATTGGGTTTCATGCAAAAATAAATATTTCTGTTGAGAAGCAACAGCTTACTTACTTGCTTGTTACTTGCTGAAGTTCTCAAAATAGAGAAGCAAATACTGCCTTGGGTAGGGAAATGCCACTGGAACAAGTCTAGGACAGCAGATTTGCAAGTGATTGCCTGATGACAATGTGGCAGTAGAGTTGCTCTCAGCTGCTCAGTTCTAACTGCATTTATCTGTACCAGGGTGCTAAAGTCATCTCTTGGTCAGACAGACCTTTCCCTCCCCCATCTGCCTTGCCTTGGTAGAACTGAAGGCAGAAAAGGAGCAAGTACCTGAAGAGGTGCAGCACCTGCAGGATGCTGACAGACTGTGCCACCTTCCTCCACAGGGCATCCAGCACACGATCTTGGTTAGAAAAACTTCCAGTGAGATGGAAAGTGAATGAGTACAGCACTATTGGAGATTCTGTGCCATATATAAAATGAAAACCGTCCCTGTATGTTTTCATTTCATAGCTGGACAAAAGAGACTTACTGCTGTTATTTCCTTAGATTTGCAGATCATTGGAACATGTACACTCATGTTGTTGCTTTATAATTTATAGTCAAAGGTTCATTGTTCTTACCTGTAAAGGAAACATCTTTCATCAGTTCTTAGGGTGATTTGAATGTTGTTTGTTAGTCTTGGAGTGGGCTGCATTCTCAGTTTTGGTATTCAGGAGCAATGTTGAAGGAGCCTGGTAAGAGTTTTCCATTTGCAGTGTTTTCATTACTTTGAACTGCCTGAGGCTTGCTCTGAGGCAAAGAACACAATTCCTCTTGTTAGAGCCACAGGTTTTTTACCTTTGACTCTTGGTACACTGAGTTTAAAATGTCTGAAGCAACCATTAAACAGCAACAACAGGAAAAGGCTTTAAGTAAGAGTTCCTTAAGGTTTGATTAATGTATTATGCTGATGACTGGATAATGTCACTGCTCAGGTACCTGTGGACTGGATAGTACCTAGGGTTAGAGTAGAGCTTGAACCTAATCCCTGTGTTAAGTGCCTGCTCTTCATCCATTTGAAGCAATCAGTGGCAATTACTCAGATCAGAGACAGCCAAATGGAAATGAAAAACTTGTCTCTACTTCTTCCTTCGTGGCAATTTCCTGACAGCACACTTTGGAAGCCATATGATGCCATCGTAATTTTAGTATAAATATCTTCTCTGTTAAGAAGGAATTGTTCAGAAAATAAGCTAGGTGAGGACATTGTGACAATACCAATGTTGGTTTTGTCTGTAATATTTCAACAACATCCCTTTTATATTGCATTAGAGCAATTGAGGTAATGTGAATATTGTGGTGAAGGCATTTTGTTACCCAACATTTTGTCATTTTACTGGAGTTGAAACAGGTATGTGTACAAATACAGATGATATTTTTCTTTATAACATTCAGCTGTTACACTATGAAGTGATCACAACAAGCATGTTAGGATTACCCTTCCTCTCTTTACCAGTTACAATACTTTAATGCTGAATTTAGACAAATTCATGTAGCGATTGTGAATGGTTTTGGTCTGTCTGAACAACAATAGTGTTTGTGGAGCATCTGATTAACACAATGTTTAATAATTTTGGTTATCTTTTTTTAAAGGCCTCTTGAGTTTGTTTTGGGGGGGTTTTTTTGTCTCAGAGTTGCTGCTTAAAACTTCTGTAAATTGTTTTATAGCCTCATTTGTCAGTGAACCAGTGCAATGTCATTAGCAGACTTTCCTACAAGCGTCCTGCTTCCAGTGGAGCTACGTCATGCATTTATTGTTTTTGGACTGAGATTTCACAGCACACTGACACCTCTGATTCTGTAATTTGTACAGCCATGCCCCTTTACCTATGGAAAGCCTTTCTGTAATAAGTGAGACTTCATGTTCACCCTGTAAACCTTGGCAGAAAAGAGTGGAGCCACAAATCATCCTGAGATTTGCATTTTGTTTCCCCTGACCTTGTGTAAAGGTTACTGTGTTATATACTACTGGAGTAGATAGAAATGATAAAATAAGACATAGGATGACAGGGAGGTTGTTATGCTGTAAGTATTTATCCTCACTGCTGGTTATGACAAATTCAAGAGCAAAACATAGTATTTTTCTTAAGTTTAAAACTGACTATGATGGCAGGCTAGACTGGCCAGTCTGAATATACTGTAAGTTTTTCTTTATTGTGTGTTTTAAGTATCGATAACATTTTCATGGAAAAAAAAATTAACACTCCTTTGCAAACCAGGAAGAAGAGAGATTATGATGATTAATCAGCATTTCTTCTTCTGAGGCCCCTCTGCAAGTACAGAAGTTAATAAATAGAAAAGCTTATTTTTCTTGTTTTAAACGATGTTCAACAAAACAAAATATAGTCTTGACTGTGTAAGGTGGGCCACAAAATCTGGAGAAGTCCAGTGTTGGGCCAGGACATGTTGAAACCTGAAGTTTATAATCCATTGTAATTTACTTCCTGAAGGAATGAGCAATAACTTCTCTGAAGGAGCCTGACAGCAGAAAAAAAGGAAGCACTGGCATGGGAAATAATCAAGTTGTTTAGCAGTTTGGAAAAAATACCTAAAATACCTATCTTTGTTTCAAGTTATGAAACGGTTTTTTTCTTTTTAAGTTGTTCCACATCTGGCTATCAAGTGTGGTGTAAAACTGAGGCAGCAGTGGTGAAATCTGCCGTGGAAATATCACTCTGTGGTGGTGTGGAGTTTTTGGCAGATAAAAGGATCTGAAGAAAATCCATCTGGATTTGACTCCTTCATGATAAGAAAGTGATAATGGTAGTAGAAATTATTGAGGATTTAGCAAAGACTGTAATTTAACTGTCTCTGATGTAGGAGAACTAAACTTTCTTTTTATTCAATCCTGAGTTTTGATTACAGGGCTGGAACACCTCTCCTGATGAAGACAGGCTGAGAGACTGGGGTTGTTCAGTCTGGAGAAGGGAAGGCTCTGGGGAGAACTCAGAGCCCCTTCCAGCACCTAGAGGGGCTGCAAGAGAGCTGGGGAGGGACTTCTCACAAGGGTATGAAGGGATAGCCCAAGAGCAAATGGCCTTAAGCTGAAGGAGGGCAGGTTTAGATTAGATATTAAAAAGAAATTCTCTGAATGTTGAGACACTGATACAAGTTGTCCATAGAGACTGGTGGACTCCCCATCCCTGGAAGTGTTCAAGGCCAGGCTGGATGGAGCTTGGAGCAACCTGGTCTAGTGGAAGGTGTCTCTGCCCATGGCAGGGGATTGGAACAAGATGATCTTTAAGGTCCTTTCCAACCCAAACCAGTCTCTGATTTTGTGACTCCCAATCTAATTGCTGTGTATATGCAGACTGTACTGTGTATTCATACCCTTACTGTGTTTAGCTTTAGTGTATTTAGTGTGGTGCTACACCTAGTTCTCCCTCTGAAGTTAGTTTTATGGAATCTTTCATTAAGGGAAGCCCGAGAGCAAAATGGCTTTTTTTTTTTTCTCTTTTAGGCTCTATGAAGGGATAATAGAGCATGAGCTCTTAGTAGCATAAATATCTTTAATCTTAGAGGAGCTGAGGATGGGACTTGTGCTGGAGCGTGAGGCTGCATGGAATATGTTGAAAAGCAAAGCTGTGAACCCATGGGGAGCTTAAGTGTTACTTCCCCCCCCCTTTTCAGATCCATATATAAAGTCGTAAGCATATTTTGCTTTTTCTTCTTCCTTCCACAAAACTATCAAACAATCTGGTGGTTTTGATACTGACAGTTCGCAACTGCTTTTTACAACCTCCATTTTATTTATGTAAGAGTTAATAAAGATGCTTATAAAGCTTTGGCTAATAGATTTCGAAAGCAATAAAGCTGTCTTTCCTTCTCTGTCTTCTGTTTATCTAAGTTGTATCTGAAAAGCTTCTGAGATACTTGATAGCCATCCTTTTTTGCATCTGTGGGAAGTAATATATTCCCATACACACAGGAAAGTATTAATCTAAACTTTGGGTGTCAAGTAGATAAGAGTTTTTATCAGCCTTTAGAACAGGAAGCTTTGAGGCACTGCCACAAATGACACCCTAAGTAAATTTAAAATTGCTGTTTTGGAGACAAACAGAAATACGGAAATACAAAACCGTGGCACTTTCAAGCAGAGTTGTCTACAGGGCTGCTGCTGTTGTAGCTGCATCTTTGGTTCCATGTGACAGGCACAGAATCAGTTTGGTTTAGGCAATTTAGTTTTTAACAGTTGTACTTTTCTAACATAATTATAAAGATATCCTTGATTTTTGTGGGACAGCACTGCACTATTATAGTTCATCAGACAGGGCAATCTGCTTACAC